CGGGCGGGGCGTGGGGGACGCAGCCGGCCCAAGAGCGAGCTGGCGCTGAGCAAGCAGCGGCGGAGCCGACGCAAGAAGGCCAACGACCGCGAGCGCAATCGGATGCACAACCTCAATTCGGCCCTGGACGCGCTGCGCGGGGTCCTGCCCACCTTTCCCGACGACGCGAAGCTCACCAAGATCGAGACGCTGCGCTTCGCGCACAACTACATCTGGGCGCTGACGCAGACGCTGCGCCTAGCGGACCACAGCCTGTGCGGTCTGGAGCCTCCCTGCGAGGAGCTGGGCAGCCCGGACGGCGGCTCCCGGGGAGACTGGGGCTCCCTCTACTCCCCGGTCTCCCAGGCGGGCAGCCTGAGCCCCGCCGCCTCGCTGGAGGAGCGCCCCGGGCTGCAGGCGGCCTCCCCTGCCTGCCTGCCGGGCGCCCTGGCCTTTGCGGACTTTCTCTGAGGGCCGGCCGGCCGCCGGGCGGTGGGTGCTGGGGGCCAGGGCGGAGGTGGAGGAGGTGGCGGCGGCCCTTTTTTGCGCCAACCGAGACATCCTGCCGCTGCCTGCGCAAGTGGGCGGTACCGGCCGCGCGTTTCAGGCCCCCTCCCTGCCGTCACCCCAAAATCTCGTGCAAAAAAAAAAAGAAGCTGAGAATGGTGGTAGCACTACACAGGGAAAACGCGCCCCCACCCCGTCTCCTGCCACCCTCCTCTCACTCTGTCAGACCGACGACTCTCTCTCACCGCTCCTCCCCCGACATGGTTTCATCCAGCCTCTGGTCTCTGCTCCCGTCCTCTCTCCCTAGCCAGTCCCGGGTGTCCGGCCGCCCCCTCTGCCTTAATCCACGAAGGCGACCCTCTGCCTTCTCCGCGTGCACTTTTCTGAGCCATTGCCCTGCTTGGGGGCTGGAGCCCCGACTGAGAACTGGTCTCCCATTCCCCTTGGGGAGCGCCCTCCCCCAACTCCGCCTCCCTGCGACCCAGAGAGCCCGTGCCTTTAGAAAAAATCAGTTTGTAAATTATATGATGTCTTTTGAGATGAATTTTGGTAAATTATATGCCCCCCCCCGTTTTTTGTATTTATTGATGAGATTTCAAAAAAACAACAACAGGAAAAGTCTATATTTTGTACATAAGATTGTTTAGGGTCTGGGGAATGAGACTTTGAGCCAATAAATAAAAAGGGGGAACCTATAGGAGCCTGAGCCTGGTGTCTGGGTTGTGTGGAGGGGAAAGCTGCCGCCTCTGCGGTGGGGGTGGGGGTGCCTCTGTCCAAAGGGCCGGAGGAGACTTCAGACAAGCCTCCAAGCGGGCTGCTCACTGGGCTTGCTAGCCCTTTCCCCTACGCCGCTAGCCTGAATGTGGTTGCCTCTGGGGGAATAATAAACAGTCCCACCACAGAATAGGAGCTCTCAGAAACGCTACCGGCCGGCCTGGCATCCCAGGAATTTTCCCAATCTGCTTAGAGTTCTAGTGCATCTTCTGGGCCGTTTTACACGCTGGGGTGGTGTGGGGACTCATGGGTCTGAGCAGCGGGGGAGTAGGGGAGGTGGGAGGTCCCGCTGGACTTTCAGGCACCCCGGACTCCTAGCAGCCTTGACTGCAAACTTATCAAGAAATGGTTCAAGGTTTCCAGCCACTGGTACTTGAGTCCCCCCAAGGCAGGTAGGATTGGTGCTCGGTGGTGACTGAACCTTGCCCCCGAAGTGCTACTGGAACCCCACCACCTGGCTTCCCGGGCACCCAAGATCTCTGGGAAGCAGATAAGAGCTCTAAGAATTCGAGGAATATGCCTGGCACACAAGAACAGGAGGATGGAGGGCTGGCACCCCACCCTGCCCGTTGAACCCAGAGACCGCCTTTGGGTTGGCCCTGGGCGCCTGGGGAAGAAACGGGCCAGCCTCAGCCTGGCAAAGGGAGGTCCGAGGCCAGGACCTGGTGGGTTGCTTTCCATCCTGTTAGAGCGCAAAGGTGGTGGCTTTGCAGGGGTTAATGCCTCTTGCATCTGCTGCTCCTCTGCCATCCCCATTTCACACTGAGCGTTTCCTCTCTCCTCTAGGCTTAGGCCCCTAAAGGCAGCTCGCAGGAGATATGCCTCGGTGAGTGGGACTGGATTTGAGGGCGCAAAAGGGGACCTGGCAAACAAACTGATAAACGAAGGTGTTTTGTTTCATGGCTTTAATCTGGGAGATTAATGGGTTATTGGTGGCCTCTGCATCTGCCAACTTTCCACCTGGGGCACCAAGGGGGAGGGGAGCAGGTGTCTGCAGCTCCAGTTGCAGGGACCCAAACCTGTGCCTGCTACTGGCTGGGCATTTGGGGGAGGGGTGTGGACAGACCTAAAAAGCAGGAAGGTCTATCCCTGTCCTCCTGGGACAGTAGCAAGTATGTTGACAAGAGAATTCAAGGCCCCAAATATTGCTGCTGGGGGTAGGCGGGAGGCACGGTGGGACTGTCACCTGGGCTGGGCTGGGAGGTTGGCCCCAAAAAGTGACATTTGGGCCAGGGCTAAGGGTTGGGAGAGGACGTCCTCAAGCAGGAAGACCACTGAAAGGTTGTGGGAAGTGGGGCTCAAATAGGCAAACGACCCCCAAAGCTGGAAGAGTGTCTGTTGGCGCTGTGCTCCTGCTGGAGGCAGTCACTTCCCGATCCTCTCCTCTTTCTGAGGGCGCTCATTCAGGAGCTGTTTGTCACCCACTGCACACAGACTGGTCCTCCCACCAATGAGTATTTTAAACATTTACAGTTTGGCCCAATTTAGGCGGTATGGCTCAGTGGTTGAGCGTGGACCCATTAACCAAGAGGTTACCGGTTCCCTTCCAGTCAGGGTACGTGCCCATGTTGTGGGCTCAATCCCCAATAGGGGGCATGCAGAGGGCAGGTGACCAATGATGTTTCTCTCTCATTGGTGTTTCTATCTCTATCCTTCTCCCTTCTTCTCTCTCTAGAAATCAATAAAAACATATTTTAAAAAATAAAAATTAGAGTTTAACCAACTCCATCACTGGGCTGCCACCTTGGGTGGGCGGCAGATTTGCTCCTGGAGCTGTCAGCTCTACTCTCAGAATCGGGAGGAGGTGGGAGGAAGGTTTGGGGCTTGGTTGAATCACTGCAGAGTTTGGGCTCTCTGCCCAGGAGAGCGCTATCAATCGCTGGAGGTAGTGAACTTCCTCCAGAGGCTCCCTAAGCTAAGAGCCCTTCCTCTCTAGGGTCTCGGAAACCTTTCCGAGAGTCACGCACAGAAACAGCCCAGCATCACAACCGCGCTGCCCACTCTGGGCATTCGTCCTTTAGGCTTTTAAAAGCAGGCTGCTCTCGCCTCCGCTGCGGCCGCACTGGTACGGCTGCGGAGCCCCCTGCAATCTGAGGTGGTCGCCTGCGCCCCAGCTCCCTGGAACCCGGACAGGGTCTCAAGCGGGGGCAGGACAGACGCTGGGCTGGAACATGCTCTCCCCTCTTCTGCCTTTGTCTGAGCCCAAGCCTGGCTTCCAGAACAACAGCAATGAATCTTGCGCCATCCCCCATCCCACCCACAACCACACGGCCTCCCCGTCCGCACACACAGCAGGTAGATTTATGGCGCCCTGCCCCCATCCCACCCCACCCCCAAACCGGCCTCCGCAGGAGGACAAAGCGACCGGGGGCCATTGGAATGCTAATGTCTGGGAGCCAGGCCGTGGGGCTGGCACAAAGGCAGGCGGGGCCCCAGGCGCACGCGACCTCGCAGGCCCCTCCTCTCCCCTACGGGCCACTCTGCCCGGCTTTATGACCTTGGACAAGTCTTTGAGCCTCAGCTAATTCACTTGAGAAGTTCCCTCATACCTTTTCCCTGGATTTCTGGGCACCTAAGAGAAGGCCATGCTGGCTGGGTTCTGAGTTACAGTCCCCCAGACCTGAAGGCATGGAAAAGACCCTTCAGAACCTGGTACTGGGGAGCGGACGGGGCGGGTGTGGGGACACGCGGCTGAGAATGTGGCACAGGTATATTATAACTACATTTTCTTTTAAACATATCTGCAGACAGTGCTCAATAAAAGCACGGACAGTCGCTAACTTTACCTGTCAGCTATGCCTTCAAGGGGCCAAGAGCAGGCAGTGGGAGGCTCGAGGCTGGACACTTCGTATCTCAGGCACCCTCTCGGGGCAAGGCAGGTGGCCACACGCAGGGAAACAGAGACCCACCGTCTGGGAAGTAGGTGACTTTCCCAAGGCCTTTAGTCACCCTGTGAGTCACTGAAGCAAAGCTGGGACTGTGAGCCTGGCTCTGAGCTAGCAGCTTTGAGCTCTCTGAACCAAGGCAATCGTAGTTTGTGCTTGTCCTTGGGCTCCCTTACTCTTTGGCTGAACCCCACCTCCAACCCCGACCCCTGGAGAGGTGCCAGGCTCCGGTCTGTCTCTTCTGCTTCTGCGACGCGAGGGGCCAAGTCCGCGGAGAGGGTGCCTTCCGGGCTAACCCGGCCAGCGCCGGCTCCTGACAGACTGCTGTGCGCCCCTGACCATGGTGCTGAAATAACCGCGCTGGTTCAGAGGCAGCAACGTGCCTGGGAAAGGAAGGTTCTCTATACGGAAAACCACCGATCAAGCCCCTCTAATCACGTTTTTCAGGGCCCGGGATGGACATGCAGACCCAGAAGGCTGGCAGGCTTCCTTGGTGTGGTGGAGAAAGCGTGGACTCTGTTTGGCATCTACCTCAATTCCAGCACTTTTTAATTCTGTCATTTTGAGCAAGTTACTCAGCCTCTCCAAACCTCATTTTCCCCATCTATAGAGGAGAAAACTGCACACCTACCTCATAAAGTTCAAAGAGGATTTAGATGAGGTGACAGATATGTCCATATACTTCATGTCCCTGCCAGCAATTTGGAGCAGAATTCATTATAGTGCCCACCCCATTTCCATTTCATTCTTACAGATGATGGCGAGCGAAGAAGGTCTGACATTAAGGCCAGGACTGACATTAAGCGTGGAAGGATGACAGAACTTGCCCAAGACCCAGACCTATGAATTATGGAGACAACCTGAGACTCCTGCTATCCAAAGGTCATCACCAGCTACTCGTACCTCTGTTGCAAGAGTTATCTATTACTGCATAGCAAATTACAAAGCACACACACAAACTTAACTACTTAAACTAGAAACCTTTACTATGTGGGTCAGGAATCCAGGTGTGGCTCAGCTGGGAGCCTCTGGCTCTAAGTATCTCAGGGCTGCAGTCAGAGAGTCGGTCAGGATTGTGGTCTCACCTGACAGCTGGACTTGGGGAGAGTCTGCTTCCAGCCTAACTCAGGTGGCTGTTGGCGGCACTCTACTCCTCGGGGGCCATTGCACTGAGGGCCTCTGTTCCTCAGTCATTTGGGGCCAGAAGCCTTCCTCTGTTCCCTGCTATGTGGGCCTCTCCATAGGACAGCTCACAACATAGCAACCGCCTTCCTTCAGTGCAAGGAAACAAAAGGTGGGAGGACA